ATTAGGTTTCCGGCCAACAACAACGTTAGAGATGTCGATGGAGAATAATCAGACAGCCCAAAGAGATAGATGAATTATCACAATCTTATGGTAGGCTGGAGATGAAAGAGGAGGATGGAGGAGTACCGTGGCGGAATCTATGAAATTGTAGACATCCAACGTGGATTTATTATAGCTAGTGGGTACAATTACATCGAAAAATAGGTACATTTTTATGTTTTTCATGAAACTGTGACTTCGTTTTGGAAACATATTAAATAAATCACCATAACTTATCTAGGAGCTTCACACTTCATGTTTCAATTCTACCACTAGTGATATGAGTAGAACTCTCAAGGAGGGACCTTGGTTGTTTGATCATAATCTCATTATCTCAAGGAAACAGGAGGAAGGAGATTTCCCTTTGTTTGTTTGCTTATATAGGGCAGAATTCTGAGTACAAGTTCATGGCATACCAGTTAGGCCGGGATCGGTTTCTAGGCAAAATAGATGAAACCATTTGGAAAATATCAAATCCAAATAATGGTTTGGTTCTTATATTTTTTTATAGAACAAATATGGAACTGAACCATCCTTAAAGGTTCGGTTCTTTTCATTTAACGGTTCCTAGTTTTTTTTAAAAATTCTTAAATCACTGTTAAATTTGTGCCAAAACAACATTCAACGTTTGAAATTACAAGAAATAAAAATATGTTTACCATCATTTCAAACCTCAAAAGTTGAGTTTAAAACATAAATACATACCAAATTGAAAATTTTAGTAAACAAAACAAAACAACATATTCACTACAATCAATAAATATGATCTTGAATCAACAACGTAATTAGCTAGCAAAAAGTTCATTCATTTAAATAATAATGTAAAATACTTAAATAACTAAACTAAAACGGTCAGTGTAATACTTCTTCCGTTCTTTATAAATTGCAACAGGTCATATTTCACGTTTGCCAATGCACAAGTTTGACCATTAATATCTTTCATTCCTAATTAGTAAAACAATTAAAAAAATCAGATTTTGAAAATTTAAAGTGAGAAGAATATAAAAAAAAATATAGTCAAAGTAGAATATGTGAATAATGCAAAAGGTCCAATTTTGCAATTAAAAGAGAACAGAGGTAGTATAAAAATAAATATGTAAATATAGATTAAAACATATTTACTAATAAGAAATATATAAAATTTTAATTAGTATATATAACGGTTTCCAAATGGTTCCTGGTACATATTTTTTCAAGAACCGAAAACCGAATAGTTAATAAGAAATAGGAACTAAACCATTAAGAAGTAACTAATAAATATTGGAATCGAACATTATCATAACAATTTGGTCTGGCTCGGTTCTCCGGTTCTTGATTCCAAAGTCCCAGTCCTAATACCAAAATGTTATTTCACCCTGAAAAATGATGAGAGAATTGGAATTTTTTGGTAAATTTATTAGAGTTGATGAATATAATTTCTCTGTTAATTGGAATCTCTTTATGAGAATTAGAGTTAGTTTGAATCTAGGAAAGTCTCTGAAAAAGAAATTGAGTTTGGAAAAGGGAGGGGGTTAGCTTATGTGTTATTTCTCATTATGAGAAATTGTCCCATTTTTGTTTTATGTGTGGAATTATTGCATACGCAGAAAATTACTATTCCCGTAAGTCGGAGGGCAGAGTTAGACCCTTTGGTTCTTGGCATAGGGCCAAAAAAGGGAGAGCATGAGCGGAAGGGAACAATAAGAAGAGGGAGACAGGGAGAGTGGCTAATAGTTAAGATGAAGAGCATGTTGGAATGTTTAAGAACAAAGAAACAACACTGAGGGAGCCGCTCCGAATGCTCGAAGGAGGCTCATCAAGCAAAGAAGACATAGCAGATAAAAAGCGTAGAATCTAAAGGGGAGGCAAGCGTGGATATCGATGTGGATATAGAGTGAAGCCGAGCTTGACAAAAAACGGGAGAGAGAAGAGCTGCAATGTAGTGGGTCGCCTAGCACAGAATTATGGTTGTCGCAAGGTCAGCGACAGAGCTTCAAAAGTTTCTTTTAGTTATTTTGCATGGCTTAATTTTCGTGTTTTTGTTCATTACTCTATTTTATTTTTTTCATTGAAACTGGAGATAAGAGGGCCAAAACTAGAGGTAAGAAAGTAGTTTTTTATGTGGGTTTATGGTTGTTTGTGTGAGAGGAAGTAATAAGCCTAATCTGGCTAGTATTCGCTTCGAACATGACAGTATTTTCTAAACATGGCAGTATTTAGTCCTATTTTGGAAATAAAAAACATGACAGTCATATTTTGGAATTTTGAAACTGTTTTAGTCCTATTTCGAGAAGTTTTCCTTTTAATAAAAGCATTCTCCTTTCAAAAAAAAAAGTAAGCGTTGTGGACTAAAACTCACACTAATGCCAGAACTAGAGTTTAAATTAAAGAAAAAAACAATGAAACTGTCCATTTAGGCGAGACCGCGAGACCATGGTCGAGTTTAAACTTCACCATTGACTTTTCCAATTCGATGACAGCTTGGTTTGAACCATTAAGGGTTGAACCATTCGATACTAGCAGGTAAAGACATTTTTTAGGAGGTTCTACAAAATAAGCCTCCCAAACTTATGTGGCCCCCATTTTTTAACAAAATTATTAATATCACATAGTAATATTTATATATTAATACCAATGATCTAAAAAGCATTCGGCGCTAGTTGGGCGCCAACCCAGCGCGTAGGTGGCTAGGCGGACTGCTAGGAGGAGACTAAACGGAAACATAAATTATATTTTTTATCAATAATTTTGCATAAATATGATAAGTTATATTGTGCATGTGTGCATAAAAAAATATAAGCACACATTAACATGTATCAATGATAAAATTGTCACATTCAATAATATAATTTAACTACTCACTTAACTTTATTATGTGATAAACATTAAATAATACGTAGTAATAACATTTAAGGATATATACAAACATGTATAATTTTTATCGTAATCTGCAACTACTAGTCTTCATGTGCATTGTTAAAGTTATATGTACACATATATCCTAGAAAAAAAAAACAAAAAAACAAACAAAATTGTTCGCGGAATCTAGATGCCCTAGGTGTTGATTAAGCGCTCAGGGCGGGCAGCTAAGCGCCTTAGGTGAACGACTGATTCACCTAGGCGTCAAATCAATTAATCGAAGCGACTAGACTAAAATTGAAGCGTTCGACCACCGCCTAGCTCCTAGTCAGGGACTAGTCAGATGCCTAGAGCGATTTTTAGAACAGTGATTAATACTAATCACAAAAATACAGTTAGTACAAAAGAAAAACGCGACTCCATTTTTTCGAGGGCGCTTTTAGTCCTCTTTTTACTCAAATTACTTGAGTAATGATATGTTGCTTTAAATTAAATACTTCGTATCAAGTAACATTATGGATGGACTTGGGCCGGGAGCGCGGAAGTCCGGAACCGGCGCGGGACCGGCACTGTTCCGGCCCGGCCCGGCCAGTGACCGGTCCTGGTAGGCCCGATCCGTAGGTTTTCCGGTCCGGGCTCGGGTCACCAAAAACAAGGCCCGACCCGGGCGGGCCCGGGCCCTGTTCAGGCCAAAACTATTTTTTTTTCAATTTTTTTTAAATTTTCGGGTTGGGCTAGGTGTTTTGGGCCATTTGGGGTGGTTTGGGAGGTTGGGGGTGGGAGGGGGTTAATTAGGAAGAGGGAAAAAATATTGATACTGGGCCCAGCACAGCCCGAACCCGGACCAGACTCGGTGGTTATCCAGACCGGACCCGATGGTTACCCGGGCCGGTCCCGGGTCCACCACACCTGAACCGCCGGCCCATCCGGGCCTAGGCCCGACCCGGATCCGGCCCGGACGCTAGTCCACCCCTAAGTAACGTTTAGAATTTTTTATTACATTATTTAATGAGTATTCAATAATAAGTATTTAGATTGATATTTTTTTAGTTCTTTATATTAATGTGGAGCATTGATTTTTTATTACATTATTTAATGAGTATTCAATAATAAGTATTCTAAATTTATTAGATGGCCTTGCTAGAGGGTGCCAACTGCCAAGCCCCAAAATCCTCCATATGTGCAACTTGGCATGGACTCTCTGGAACTAGGTCCGGTACTGTTTGAGCCCAGATTGAGTCTGTTTTTCGTACCCTAGCTTAGGACCAGCCTTGTCTGGTACGTTTGGATACCCAATCATGGGTTACATGTCTTAGGACTGATCCGGGCAATCCTAGTCCCGACTAGGGATGGACTCGGGCCGGGTGGCCCGACCCGGAACCGGCCCGGGACCGGTACTGTTCCGGCCCGGCCCGACCCGGTGGCCCGATCAGTGACCGGTCCGGGTAGGCCCGGCCCGTGGGTTTTCCGGTCCGGGCTCGGGTCACCCAAAACAAGGCCCGACCCGGCCGGGGCCGGTTCGGGCCAAAAACTATTTTTTTTTTTCAATTTTTTTTAACTTTTCGGGTTGGGCTGGATATTTTGGGCCATTTGGGGTGGTTTGGGGGGTTGGGGGTGGTTTGGGGGGTTGGGGGTGGGAGGGGGGTTAATTAGGAAGAGGAAAACAAAAAAAATATAATGGGCCCGGCCCGGACCCGGACCGGACCCGGTGGTTACCCGGGCCGGTCCCGGGTCCACCATTTCTGACCCGCCGGCCCGCCCGGGCCTAGGCCCGACCCGGACCCGGCCCGGACCCGAGTCCATCCATAGTCCCGACAGTAATATTTTTATTGATTCCAAACCGGTAAAAGTAAAATAAAAATAAAAGGAATGGGACCGGACCGATCGGGCACACGGAACTGGCCCGGAACCACTTAATACCCGGGTCAGGCATGGTCTTCACCTCCACATGGCAACGACCAGGCAGCCTCGACTCTCGCCCCGGAATCGGGACCTGACTGGCCCAGTCCATGCCTACCTGTAACCGGTCACAAACCGGTCTAAGTACCCTATTTTAAAATGATAATAAAAACTAACTAGCATTGGCTCCGGTTCCACCCATATCCACAAGACTGATAAAAAGTCACAGTTACATCAACAAATAATTGAAAATTGAAAAGACAAATCCGATGACGTATAAGAATCTTACAAAAAGGTTAAATATGGCACAACTTGGTCAAAGAGCAATCTTTTGGGGACAGAAATTACAAGAAAGGAAAAAGAAACATCACATTCTAAATAATGTCACTGAAGACTTGATAAGTGATGATACCTTGCATTGCTATGAAGCCGCCAGAGAAACTGTAATGCATAAGTATACAGAAACATGGACCCTTACGAGAAAAAGCCATAAACAAACTAGCTAGTTCGACCACAATGGCAACAAGGGTTTTCCCTCTCCACATTTTGTCATGCATTCTACCACAGATTCTCTCAGTTTTATTTCAACGTCTTCAATGGGAAGGGATGCATCTACAATCTAATCAGCAAAATAGAAGCGTGATCAATAGTTAAGACATTTAGGCTGATAAATGGAAAAACTTATGTTCCTAAGTGCAGGATTATACAGACAAATCAATATTCCCTATTTTTAACTCATTGTAAAGTATCTTGCATAGTTACTGCATGTACAAGTACATTACTAGTTCTTTTTAATTACAATGGAAACATATCTATTACGAAATACAATATTTTAACACTTTTATAATACACTACCAATTAAAATACACTATTTTTGTTGCGCTCATTTATACTGGTAATTATTTTAAAATAATTAATTAACACTAACAATTTCATGTCAAACAGTCAAAGAACCCACAAGTTGGGACTAAGGTGGTGGTGACTGGTGATAATGATGGTTTTTCTAAAATATTCAGTACTCATCAATCCCATATTGAACCATGCAGGGGACAAAGCTAGAATTTTACACGGGAGGTAGCTGCCACCATCGGCCTCCCTCCCATCTCCACCACTTCTCCCCTCCCTCTTTTGAATACAATAAGAGGTAAACCCGCAAACACAAAGACCCAGCCACACTTGGACTAATGTCCCTTACCTTCCATGATGGATCCTGAAGGGCCTGGTATGACTGGGCAACCTTTTTCTGAAACTCCAACTGCTCATACCTCTCACCACCATAACCTCCTCTTTCAGCTGCTCTCTAAAATATTTCAATAATGAATTAACTCTTAGTGACCTAAAGATGATCGGCTTCACATAAAACAGACAATTTACATTGTGGTATCATTCATATCATAATCACCCTGACAAAGCATGCATCCAGATTTGTAATATAGGGGGTGTTTGAAATTAATTCTACTGCTTCTTTTTTAAAAGTAAAAGCAGAATTAGAATCAGTTTTTCCGTAGTTGATCTTCCCTCAACTTCTAAAAAAACTACTTTTAGGAGCAATTTGGAGCACCCAGAAGTATTTCCGCACTTTCACCAAACACTCCGGTATGTATTTCCTCTCTGAAGGAGCAGAAACAGTTTTAAGAAGTATATCCAAACACCCTATTAAAAAGCAATAGCACCACACATCCACACCGGTGCCCATGGTTGGAATTGGACTCTAGGATGCAATGATGAGGGGGTGTTTGTCATGAATTATAAACGACTAATTGAGTGTGTTTACTTTCCCATTGAAAGTGCTTTAATTGGGCCCCTACTAGGATACCATTTTAAATGTGCCCAAAAGATCCTGAAAAGGTATGAGATACCGGATAGTGGATACCGAAAAGTAAACACCCTTCCACCCATTTTTTTCCATGATAACACATGCACTTTGACTCTTTGAGCTTTAGTGAAATGTGAACAACATTAGTTGCAAGGCTTTAATTCCTTTAAATTAAAAGGAAAGTGGATGACAAGGAAGGAAGTGAGAAAGTGATTCCCTAGTCAAAAGTGAATTAAGTTCCACTTTTCACGGAATGTACCACACGCCTCCTTCCTTACCGTTTCTCCAGTTCCAAATGCATTCAAACTGAAAATAAAAATGATTACCTCAGGTGATATATCAAGGAACAGCACTAGATCTGGAGCAAGCAATCCTATATCAGGGTTCTGCACATTAAGATGTTTCATAACATGGACTAATAAAAACCTTAAATTTACATTGATCAATGCATATACCTTACACCATTGGATATCAAGTCCCTTTGCAGATGAAAACGCCACTCCAGAATAAGAGTAACGATCTACAATAACAGTAGTTCCGCTCTTTAAAGTCTCTTCCATTAATGACCTGCAATTCATTTTCAGTTGACATGGGAGGAACTTATAAACCACCTGGAAGAATTTAAGCATTAATAAATGGTTTGTTTGGAACCCATAAAATTGTAGGCACCAAAACATTAGGAGCATATCTGCACTTGCACCTAAAAACCTAAACATCAAGAGTGTGTTTGCACTTTTCTGATTATTTGAGGCACAACCATCATTTAGCAAATACAAGAAGGCGAACACTTTGGTCACATGACAGATAACCATACCTCTTCTCCCAACGGTTGGCACTGAAAAGCAGATGAATAGCACGGTCATCCAAATGAGACTTATTCGCGAGATACGAAGAGATCATTTGCCCTATAGAGGTGTTTCTATCAGGAAATCTCCACGTCTGAACTGAGTGCCCAATGTCATCCAAGTATTTTACCAATCTACTACACTGTGATGTCTTTCCACAACGGTCCAGCCCTTCAAAGACAACCAATGCGCCCCTTGAATGGCTCCTGGTTTGAGTATTTTCCATGTGAATTTGTTTGATCGAGCTCTTTACCTTGAACTTCAAATTCAAACCAAAGTTCAAAAGATGATGTGCTCCTACTCTCTCAAATCCCCTGAAAGTGAAACTTTTAAATGTTCTTATTCATCAAATGTGACCAAGCTTGTCAATGGCACGCCATGGCGCTTGCGCCATGCGCCATGAGGTGCGGAAATGGCCTCTGCGCCATAAAATAGGCCGTGGCGCTGGGTATACACATGGCGACCCCATTGTCTCGCCATTGCCAAAATCTCGCCATCGCCATGGCGATGCGTAGGCTTTTTTTACACATCAGCGAACATTTGGTCTGAGATTTTGGGGCTGTTGGGCCTGCTTAACGCTAACTTAATAAAACTCTAAATAAAAATTAATATTTTAGCCCATTATAGTAATAACAACCTAACAAAAGTAAATAATCACACAAAGCCTGCGGATAGTAGAAGTTAAACACACAAAGCCTGCGGACGCAAAGCCTAAGTACAGTTATAAAGTACTCTTATAACTTCAGTTTACAAACAATTTTCTTAGCACTTAGCACTCTTAAACTGTATGTTAGCACTTATAACTACTTTATAATAACAGTATATAAAGGTTATACTTCAGCTAACTACTTTATAATAACAGTATGTTCAGATAATTTAAAATGAAGTTTTTAGTTTATAGTTTACGTTAAAATAAAGTTTTTACTTTATAATTTTTACTTCAGCTAACTTTATAGTTTATACAGTTATAAAGTATAAACTATTTGTTTGATTAAGAAGTTTTTACTTCTATAGCTTTTACTTCGGCTAACTTTATAGTTTATACAGTTATAAAGTATAAACTATCAGTTTGATTAAGAAGTTTTTACTTTATAGTTTTTACTTCAGCTAACTTTATAGTTTATACTGTTATAAAGTATAAACTATCAGTTTGATTAAGAAGTTTTTACTTTATAGTTTTTACTTCAGCTAACTTTATAGTTTATACAGTTATAAAGTAATACTCCCTCCGTCCCAAATTGAATTGCAAACTTTGACCGGCACATGGATTAAGGAATTGCAATAAATGACGCTTGCTTTTACACTTTTGCCCATCTTCCTAAAAGTAGATGCTTTTAAGTTAATGAGAAAAAAGTAAAAGTAAGGGTAAATTTGTCACTTTATTCTTATTTACATACTTAAAATAGAAAGTGGAAAACTATTTTGGGACAACCAAAATAGGAAATTTTGCAAATCAAATTGGGACGGAGGGAGTATATCAGTTTGATTATGAAGTTATAAAGTATAAACTATGCAGTTATAAAGCATAAATAAACTATCAGTTATAAATTGAAATTGAAAGCCTTTCTGATTAAGAAGTATCATTTGATTTTAAATACTATTAGTTCAAAGTCCTTTAGTATCAGTTTGATTATAAATTGAGAATTTGAGATGATTAACAGTTTAAAGTCCTTTAAACTTTAAATTCATATTTCAAATACTTGCAGAGTTGCAGTTTTTACTTCAACGTGAGATGATTAACTTGGAAGTAGTTTAAACTATTTTCACTTCACCTGTTTTGTTAGAATGTTGTTATTCAACCTTTTTATCATGATTTGGTGATTGGGTTGATGAATTATAGTGTTTATCATTCGTTTTGAAGTTTATTTTTTGTCACGTGGCGATGCCATATTTGCGCCATCGCCATCGCCATGGGAAATGGCATGTGCGCCATGAATGTCGCAATGCGCCATGACAACTATGAATGTGACTATTAATTGCAATTCCCTAAAAGATCATTGAAGCATTTACTGTGCTGAAGGACAAAACTTTAACTACAATAATAGAGTAATAGATTTCATTTGCAATTAAAAGTTGCCTTTGTGAGCATGCATATTAAGGGTCTGTTTGCAAGAGCTTAAAAAAAGCGCTTCTCGGCTTTTAGCTTTAAAAAGCTAAAATTCGTGTTTTCAAGTGACAATTTCTACTTAAAAAGGCGCTTCTCAGCTTTTGGCTGAAATATGTTTTTTACTTTTTATATTACACAAAAAGCACATATTTTTACCAAAACTACCAACTTTTACCTTTCAAAATCACTTTTTTCTCACTATCAACTTTTACTATTAATAACTTTTTCCAAAATCACTTCAAAAAGTGCTTTTTTAAGCAAAAGCATTTGCAAACACTCCCTAAATATTGTTAATTTTTCCGAGAGTGCAGGCTGGTCATCTAAGTTCATTGTTGTAAGTTTTGCAGCAGTGATTCAAAGCCTCCTACTTAAGTTACTAGCTTACTGTTGCTATATTCTCCCAAATGAAAAGATTGACTTAGGAGTTAGTATGTTTTTAGTTGGTGTTGTTCTGGTAAATATAAGACATTTATCAGACCGGATTACGTCAAATCGGACTTAAACATACCAAACCAAACCACACTAGACCAGACCGGAAAATTTCAGTCCAATTAAAAACATCCTTAAGCACCTAGGAGGCTAGGAAAGTATATAAGACTGTTGCTACAAAAATCTCTAATTTATTGAAGTTCATTTGACCTTCATTGTTACTAACGAAATATTCAACTAAATCTCCATGTTATCCATCAATATGGTATTACTTTCTCTTTCTTACTTTACCAAAACAATAATTCTTACATTTTTTCCTTTTGTCCTTTCTCACTTCAGTGAGCCATCCCACTGTTAAAGTTAATCTAAATATCCTTCTCACACTTGGGCATAATTGCCACTCTTCTCTAGCTCAGCAGATCCTTAGTCATAAATTCCAGTTTCTTAGGCCACATAAATTAAGGGCCTGCTTATATGTTTCAAAATTCATCAGCTTTTAGAGAACCTAACAAGGGAACTAAAACTTTATTCGAGCAGAGGAATATTCATCTTTTGTATCTCATTAGTTAAAAAAAGGAAGAGGAGAATTCATTGTGCATGAGCCTTTGCGGAAAGATCTTAACTTTTTATATTCACTCAAGGTAGTCAAAGTCGTGAGGCGCACTCAAGGCGATGGGGTAATTCCAGCGCCCGAGGCGCAAGGCACAAAAAAGTGCTCGCCTGACTCATGTCAGGCGCATTGCTTAGAAAATATCACACATACTATTCTCCAATGATTAAGCATGATGTATATAACACCATATTGAACAACCTACATTAAAAAGTCATGGTTTGATCAAATAAAATCATATTTCAACATACATGATAAAAAATGGTAGTTTGGTAATATGGACTGGTAGTATGTATACATGGTCAAAAAAGGGTAGTTTGGTAGTATGTTCTAGATAGTATCTAGTATGTATACTGGTAGAGTGGTAGTATGTACTTCACCAAGAAGTAGCCGGTAGTTTACATATACATGTGTGAAAAAATATACTGGTAGTTTACATATATATGTTTACGTTGTTTAGACCGTAGAATTGACTAACTGAGACATATCACATATAAACAAGAATTCTACAGAGTACAAGAAGAAGTATCTGTTAGTTTACATATACATGGTGAAAAAATATACCGGTAGTTTACATATATATGTTTAAGTTGTTTAGACTGTAGAATCGACTAACTGAGACATATCACATATAAACAAGAATTCTACAGAGTACAAGAAGAAGTATCGGTTAGTTTACATATACATGGTGAAAAATATACTGGTAGTTTACATATGTATGTTTAAGTTGTTTAGACTGTAGAATTGACTAACTGAGACATATCACATACTCCCTCCGGGCTCCGTCCCTTATAACTTTGTCAACTTTCCTTTTTTGGTTGTCCCAAAAACATTGCCACTTTCTCTTTTAATCAATCAATTTGTGGTTCCTGCTATTTCTCTCTCCTCTGCACAAATCTCTACCACACAGTTTTTACTTTATTATTCTACGTGCCGGTCAAACTTGGCAATCCTTTTAGGGACGGATGGAGTATAAACAAGAATTCTACAGAGTACAAGAAGAAGTATCTGTTTGTTTACATATACATGGTGAAAAAATATACTGATAGTTTACATATATATGTTTAAGTTGTTTAGACTGTAGAATTGACTAACTGAGACATATCACATATAAACAAGAATTCTACGGATTACAAGAAGAAGTATCTGTTAGTTTACATATACATGGTGAAAAAATTTACTGGTTGTTTACATATATATATTTACGTTGTTTAGACTGTAGAACAAGAGTTCTATAGAGACATAGAGTACAAAAAGAAGTAGCTGGTACTTTACACTTTACATATACATGCTGGAAAAAATACTGGTAGTATATAAGAAGTAGCTGCTGAAAAATGAAAAAAGAAATAAAATTGAACGAATGGAAGATGAAGAAGAAGAAAGTTTACTTTCATCGTTGAGTGCTACACTGTTGCAAGCTTTGCGGTTCATGTGGTGGGACAGGAGCAGGTAGCGAACAGGTAACAATAGAGAGCCATAGAGTGCATAGCAGGAGGAGGTTTACGTTGTGTGTTTAGAGTAGGTTACGTCTTTTTGACCTTATTTGCACGGGCTTTATTAAAAATATGGGCTTCTTAATGGTCTTATTTGAACGCACATGTGAAACAGCCTCAGTAAACTTAAAATAAAGGCTTCCCCTAGCAGGCACAATGGGCGAGCGCTTAATACGACTACCGCGCTTCTGCGCTTTGTGTGCCCAACCTGCGCTTGAGAGGGGATGGTGCGACTGGGCTTGTGTAGGGCGCTGGAGACCTCTGGCGCTGCGCCTGGTGCGCTTAAGCGCTCAGGCACACGACTTTGACAACCTTGGTTTCACTACTAGGCTATTGTTCAATTGGTTGAACCGTGGTTGGATCGATAACAAATTTTGTAAGTATAATTCATTATATTAAATTAGACTTCACTAATACTTTACAGCACTAGAGCTACACATGAAACCAAATCAAATATGACAAATTTTATGTTCAACCATATACGATAACAGGTCAATATCTATTACATGCTACATTTTGAAAGTATGTGTCTAAATCGAACTTCAATGCAGATTATAATGAAACACATTATATCAAGCAAATTAATCGAATAATATAAAAAACAGTATGTTTGATTTCAAATTTCTAAAGTTAGAACTACTTGATTCATTAATAATTATCATAGACAACAAAGTTCGTTTTTAACTACCAAGTACCAAGTTACATACAGTTTATAAACTGCTACTAATCCCAGATATCATTAATATTGAAAGTTACGAGTTCAATTTATAAAGCAGACGGTGAAGAAAAAAACCTGACAATCATTAGATATTGGTGACCTTTGGAAACTAGAGCTCGTCAACTTGAAGATGCTCTATTGGCTCACTACCACATTGGAGCACTGGAAAAGGTCGAACCCTGATAACGAACATCAAAGAGTTGTGAACCGGCAAACTGAACTGTGGATCTAAATCCGGAATAGGGATGTTTTCTTTTGGACTATTTTCAGTCCCAAATCAGACAAGACTAGACTTCCATAATTATAAAATAAACAGAGACCAACCAGTTCAGACCAGACCAACAAATTTCAGTTAAAAAAACATCCTAATTACATACTTCATTGCCTTAGCCTAGTATGTAATTGGAAGCAAAACCATCAAGTGAAAAATGGAAACTTAATTACTTGCAAGTAAGCAGGTCTCAAAACATCGAAGTATTCTGGTTATTTCAGAATGGTATTTAAGACCAAGGGGCATATACCAGTGATGTCAATAGCGGGCTATAGCAGCTCTATAGAGGAATAGCATAGCGGGGGTTAGGCGCTATGAGACTGCCTATAGCGGAGCGCGGGAGCGGTTGGCAAAAACGGCTATAGCGGGAAGAATAGCGGCTGTAGCGGGCGCTATAGCGCCGCTATAATTGACACTTGACAGGGCTACTTCAGTGCTGGTTTTGAGGAAATTCAGGAGTACTTTTTACTTTTATGTCTTTTAGATGTTTTTGGAGTAAAAAATAACCTCAACACACTCTCCAAAACATGTGGGCGACAAAATAACCCTACTAAAATAACTCAAAACAGATCAAACATAACTGATATCATACATCTCCATGTTAAGGTAGTTCAAGGCATCCCAACAACATTGCTTACAATATGGATCATGACTTTCTTAGGACTAGATCCGTCCTGAGCATGGTTGGCATCGCCAACATGACCAAACAGAGTAACATTCCTTTACCAAAGCAGGACCGCAGGAGAATTCTGTTGAGAAATCTGTTAATGAAATATCTGTCTCGCCCTTAGCTCGCAAACAAGCCCTAAGTTATACTACCTCCGTCTCAAAAAAGTTCGTCCAGTAAATGATGACAAACTTTGAACAATGATTTTAATTATATTTATATATAATTTATAAAGTTTATAAATTATGGCGATTGGCGATGGCGGAGTTCTGGTGACCAGTGGCAGTTCAGCGATGGCGGTGCTCCAGCGACCAGCAGCAGCAACCCAGCGCCGCTATAATTGACACTTGACAGGGCTACTTCAGTGCTAGTTTTGAGGAAATTCAGGAGTACTTTTTACTTTTATGTCTTTTAGATGTTTTTAGAGTAAAAAATAACCTCAACACACTCTCCAAAACATGTGGGCGACAAAATAACCCTACTAAAATAACTCAAAACAGATCAAACATAACTGATATCATACATCTCCATGTTAAGGTAGTTCAAGGCATCCCAACAACATTGCTTACAATATGGATCATGACTTTCTTAGGACTAGATCTGTCCTGAGCATGGTTGGCATCGCCAACATGACCAAACAGAGTAACATTCCTTTACCAAAGCAGGACCGCAGGAGAATTCTGTTGAGAAATCTGTTAATGAAATATCTGTCTCGCCCTTAGCTTGCAAACAAGCCCTAAGTTATACTACCTCCGTCTCAAAAAAGTTCGCCCAGTAAATGATGACAAACTTTGAACAATGATTTTAATTATATTTATATATAATTTATAAAGTTTATAAATTATGGCGATTGGCGATGGCGGAGTTCTGGTGACCAGTGGCAGTTCAGCGATGGCGGTGCTCCAGCGACCAACAGCAGCAACCCAGGGGGCAGTGGCAAACCCCAACCCCTGCAGGGGTATTCATGCTCAATCACAAAAAGGCTCCTATTTTTGAAATTTTAAACATCTACTGTTATTTTTTCCATTTTAACATGTTTTACTCATTTTATGAGAATTATCTCTTTATATATTACTCCGTATTTGTGTATATGTTTGTGGTCTTATGGATGTGTGGATAATTGGATATATATGGCCTAATGATATTTTAATATATTTGTGGCCTAGACACTTATGCAGAGTCGTTGACTAGTCTTTGACTGGTCTTAGTATCTTTGCTAGTCAATGTGGATCAAAAAAATTAAAATTGGCTTAATCTTAAAAAATACCAAGTATGTTTAAACTAACATACTTGGTATGTTAGTTTAAAAATAACTTTTGCGTTTAAACTAACATGCATAATAATAATATTTCAAGACCATTTTATTAAAAAAAGACTTAAATCCATTAAATTAAATCTCTGAGTTCACACTAACAATTTTGACTAAAATTGACTACCACACTAACACATTTTTCCACTGAACCTTTTTTACTCACACCACTTTCTCCAATGTTTTCTCTTTTTTTCTTTCTCCTTGAAAATAAATAAATTTATAAATTTAACTACGAATGAAATTTTTTAATGAACAAAATCAACAAATTATAAGACCAACAAAAAATCCAAATTGAATTACACAATAGAAAAATTACTAATAAATTAAAATTCAACAATCAACATATATCAACTATGAACTAATTAACAATCAACAATTGAGAATAAAACACCAATAAACTAATCAAATAACTAATTATTTATCACCTACTCACTAATCAACATTAAACAACTATGAATTAAATCAATCAATAAACTAATCAAATAATCCTATTAATCAAATGATCAATAAAACAAAACGTCTAGAACATTAAAATTGTTAATCCGTGAAGGAATAAGGTCGGATAGTCGAAGGACTACCTGAAGGCTGAAGTGGTGAAGGCGTTAGGCGTGAACTCCGTGAAGCATTGAAGCCTTAAGGTGAGAAGGGCCGATTGGACTGCGAATCCAGGGGATGGGCGGCATGCCGCCAAGCAGGCACGGGTAGGGCAGTCAACGAGTCGGCGGCTAGGCAGTTGGCACTTGGGAATAGGTGTTCGTCACCGCTTCGCCGATGTCAATCGATATGCTGCTCCGGTGCCGCTCTATTCGGCCGAAGACTGAAGTCTGCATTACTGGGCCTTTTGCTATTCTAGTGCCATTGGCGATTGGGCTTTGCTGAAATACTATTGGGCCAAACTTTTTCCAATCATTTGGGCCAAGGCCCTGCCTCTCCTGCCCCGGGCCGCCACTGTCAATGAGCCAAAGTTGGATCACTGTCAAGGAACCTCATTGAGTACATCTTGCACTATCGTAGGTATAGGTTCAGAACTCCCTTCACCAGTTTGACGATTCACTTTCGTAAAGAATGATGATATCAACTTCTTTCCCTTCTTCGCAATGTGTTCATCATCCATTCTAAAAAACATTTTCATTATTCGTATAAATTAAAACACTTATATAAAAAATATAACTAATATGGAAAAAACAATCCGTCTAAATAAAACTAATAAGAATTCCCAATTTTAACCTAGCCCTAAAACTCTAAATCACGGAATAACACATTCACGGCATAACACATTCACGGCAAGTCGGCAATACGGTATAACAATTCACAATGATGGCATAACACATTAACACATTTAATTTACAATTAACGCTTCAATTCACAATTGTACTCTTCAATTAACACATTTAATAAAACATTCACAGATTCACGACACAATTCTACTCTTCGATTCACAATTAAACAATTCAATTAATAATCAATTAATCAAAGAAATTGAAAATAAAAAAAGAATGGTAAATACCTGGCGGCTGGCGTCCTGGCCGGATGGTCGGAGGGGGCTGGCGGGCAGCTCAGCGGCTGAGGCGGAATCGAGAGAAGGACGGAGTCACTCGCAGAGTCGCAGTTCGCACCGTCTTCTTGCTCAGTTCGGAATTAGCAGTTTCGCACGCAGGACGGCAGGAGGCTCCGATTTTCCAAAGCTGCGAAGGGCTGGCCGCTGGGAAATAATTTGGGAGCTGGGCTGCTCGGAGTTATGTGCTGGCTGGGCTAATGGGCTGGGTCCGCTGGGAATTAATTTGGGATGGGCTGGGATTATTTTTGTGATGGGCTGAGTAATCTAACATATATCTATACTAAAAAAATGTGATGGGCTAAAGCCCACCCCTGCCCTCAAGTACATCCGCCCCTGATAAAATCTAAACTTTTACTTCATAAAAATAATCAAACAACATTAACGATATTTTTAATTAAGAGAAGGGGTTGAACCCATGTAACCCGGTCATATAAAAAGTCTCCAATTTTAAAAAATTACTCCGTACTTTTCTAGAATCTCAAAATGTAAACATGTAAACAAGGTGGAGCCAAGGGGTCAGGGTGGTCAGCCGACCCCGTTGAAAGTGTGAGAGTATAGAACTCTGAAATATCTTTGATTTGATATATTATGACCCACGTAACTCATTATGAGTAAAAATTTATAACTTTTGGAAAATCAGCACTACCTAAACGTAAAATCGGCAAAATTTTGGTGTCTACTACTTCGTATATACTATCGTATTATTTTCCAAATTTTAAACAGTAAGGTATAATTCATTCAATACTTACGATACACGACTCAGAAATAGAGCAAAGACAATCTATCTTATTGTAATGAGTGTCTATTTAATTAAAATGAATATGAAATATTCAACTAGATTATTATTTAAAAACGATCCATCATTTTCATTCCGTATATATGTTGAGTTTCGTACCCCTGACCCATTTTTCTGACTCGGCCGCTGCACGTAAAATTTAACAAAGGCTGAATTTTATTTAGGAATTAGGAGCATATATATGTCACGTTTTGTAGGTTGTTGCGGAATAAAAGGCTAATAAATGGAAAGGGGCCGTATTAAATTAAAATTCGCAGTACTGATTAGCACCTTATAGAGTAGGGAAAAGCGTAAACACGAAGATAACGTGACGAATTTGGGATAGGTGCGTGGGGCCCGCTGGCCGCCCCAACCCCCCATTCCTGTCGCCCCAAAATTTACGTTGAAAAGAAAAATTTTCACATGCTTCGCATCACACTTCACGAGAAAAGCGTCACCGCTTCCTCCGTCACAACACCTCCCAGATTCCTCCACGTGTTTGGAAATCCGCGTCGACCGAGCTGCATGTGCGCTGACTGACTGACCGTGACCAGAGCCCGGGTCTCTCGGCTCGGCGCGGCTCGAGTTTTTATTCATGCATGCATTCAATGCATTGGGATGTGGATTTGTCGGCTGCCATTAAAAAAACAATTTATGAGGAGAAAAAAATTGATTGAGACTCGTCCATAAACGGTAGCACATACAAAAATGATATTTGTACATACTCTTATACACACTTTTGTACACATCTATGTTTGTGAAAGCTTTTTTTTTGTCTGTGAACATTGATTCACATACAATGTTTTGAACAAACAAAATATTGTCTGTGAACCGGATTCACATACAAAAAAAAAGCTTCACAAACATGGTGTGTATAAAGTGTGTACAAGATGTGTACTAACGGTACTCCGTTACTGTTAGTTTATTCTACTCCGTATGAATACGAACCGTACGATACGAACCGTACAATACACACAGTACCCCGTGAATCCGTGATGAATACGAACCGTACAATACACACAGTACCTACTCCGTATAGTTTTGACTCCGTCTCCGTAGTCCTTTATTTCAACCTCCCGCTGCGGCATTATTCGTTTTACTCGACTGTTTTTAGTTGCATTGAGATCATGCTAATTAAAAAGATAAGATTAAATTTAACTAGACCAGACTAGACAAGAGATGACAAAGGGACGGTATGTATAAAACCTTAATCGTCTTGCTACTCATAAAAACAAAAAGATTATTTCATGCAACGAATGTATCCTGATCAACGTGGTTTTCTCTTGTTTGACAAGATGGTTTGATGCGGATATCCATATGATCGATCACAATTGTCATTTCTAAATCAGATCGGATTTAAACAGCCCAGTCTAGACCAGAACAGACGAGAAAATTTGATCCAAATAAAAAAAACATCCAAACAAATCAAGTAAAAATCAAGAGTTATAATAAGGAGAGTCTTCTACTAGAAATGTAGAGGCCGTTTGGCAACCCTCATTTTCGGCTTATCAGGCTTATCAACCAACTTTTTTATCAAACACGTAAATTTTGCTTTCGCGCGCTAAATTGTGTAATAAGCCGAAAAAGTAAGGTTGGAGTTACTTTTCTGGCTGTATTGGCTGAAGTTACTGTAGATAACCATTTTAGCTATTTTTACATATAATTTTTTCTTTATTATATTACTCCATCCGTTTCTAAATAAACTTCCAGCTTTCCTTTTTCATCCGTTCCAATTAAAACTTCCGCTTTCCCTTTTTAGTAAAAAATTTGTGGTTCACAACATTTCTTACACATTTCTCTCTCCTCTGCACAACTCTCCACCACACAATACCCACTATCTTAAACTTTGTGCCAAACCTATTTGGAAGTTTTAATAGGAACGGAGGTAGTAATAAAATATATTTTAAAAATATTTTTTTCTTGTAACAGCAGAATCAGCCAATGCAGCCATTTCAGCCAGAATTTCATAAATTTCAGCAGAATTAGTCAGAACAGCCGATTTTCGTGCTGCCAAACGGGTTCGTAATTCTATTCGATATAAAATTGTAAAATTGGTATCAATAATTTGTATGTGCATAATAATGTGAACTCGTTAATCAATGCACAAATATGAATAATAAGTTATTTTTTTATTTCAAAAAGACAAGTTAAGTGTTTCAATTTTTTGTAATATTATTGCATGCCCCTTTAATAAAAAGATATTCCTTGTATCCCACAAAACTTTATTGATGAAAAATTATGCTTAACTAATTCCTTGCTAGCTTATTCACTAAAAATTCAGAAGTGTGGGCCAATAAATCCTAGAATAAGAATAATTAAAAATTCCAAATTTGTTTAATCAGTTTTTATTGTTTTATTTGTACCTCAGTTTTTATAAAAATATTGTGTTGGGTGAATATATTGATGATACTGGATTGCAGTAAAAACGGAGTTGATCGAGTCAAAACGTATAAACTAGTGGAATATTTGATTTATTGACGGAGCTGAGTTGCGGTTAGCCTAACGAGATCTGGAATTCACCCCAAAGCAGTTTGAATAATACGGTACCGTATTATGTCAAAATCGTTTCAAAAATTACAATTTGTAAACAACTAAACTATCTATTTTAAGAAAAAACTATCTTACAACTTCGAATAAAATAATCTTATGATTTCGAATCATGTCATTCAAGAAAGATGATGCGGTCGGAACTTTTTGTTTTGAAAAAGAAAGTGAAGAAGCATAAGGATGAAGACGGAAAGTTGGGTGGAAAAGATGGAGTAAAAATCTAAACAAATCCCCGGAAGAGCGACGACTGTTTCCCGTACCAGGAAATTCACGAACCACGCCACAGCACATGTGCCATAAGACTCGATAACACGTGTTTCAAGTGCATCTTTTCTCGCTTCAAAGAATAATTCAAACCTCTCCATCTGATCTTTTTTTTTGTATTTTTATAACTATCCAAGTCTGATCTGGTCTGATCTGGTCTAAACTGGTCTGATCTGGTCTGGGACGAATTACAATCCAAATAAAAACATTTTAAAAGAGGCTAACATGATTCGTGTTTTTCGAAGTGTAAAGGGAAAAAACTAACCCGATCCACTATATTGGATTTAAGTAAAATTCGGGGCATACACTGGTAGCACGCTAGTTTGATATGAATTAAAAAAATGAATCGGAATTTTCTCTTACATCTTTAGAACAAGATATAAAATGCTTTAAACGGAATGAAATATAATAAGATATAATGAAATCAAATATTACACGAGTTCAAATTAGAAGTCTTTATGCGTTTCAAGTTAATTTGTACATGGTGGCGGAGCCAGAAAAATGACTCAGGGGGTCGAAACTCAACCTATGTACAAAATTAAAATGAGTTACGGGGCCATAATATATCAAATCGACAAAGTTCTACACTCTCAAACCTTCAACAGGGTCGGCTGACCACCCTGACCCCCCCCCCCCCCCCCCTTGGCTCCGCCCCTGTTTGTACTTATTCTTTAATACTCCCTCCGTCCCGCTAACAATGGGACAAGAGGAAGTGACACGCAAATTAATAAAAAGTGTTTTATGTGGTTGATATTGAATTGATAAAATAAGAATAAAGTAAGAATGATTTGGAGCCACACAAATTTTACCAAATTTGGTATGAGACAATCTTAGTGGAACGAACCGATAACGTAAAATGGGACAATCATATCGGGACGGGGGTAATATATTGTAACTGAAGTCAAAACACTAGAAAAAACACGGGATTGACTCTAATTTTTGACAATAATTCCTCGAATTTGGCAATTTTAAAAGGAATATGTTAAATCCGTGCCAAAAACAGTTTGACAAAGGTTATTTGGTACGAAATTATCAATAAATCTGTTCTAATCTTGTAATTTTTTAGTGATATATGTTTTTATGTCTTGCTTGTGTTTATCCTTAATAATAAAATCCCAATCAATTTCATTTTTTTATCTAAGTTTGCTTGTGTTTATCCTTGATATCTAGTACTCATCATGATTTGATTTTATTGTCATGGCCTCATTTTCAGTCACAATTAGAAATGATGCTTAGACCTATGTATAGTCACACACAATTGTATGAACCAAACTAATTTAGCTCCGAAATATAGGGAATGTTTGGAATTGGTTTTGCTTCTGTTTTTTTAAAGAGCAAACAAAATTAAAACCGGTTTTGCAGAATATTGTCCCCTAGTTCTAAAAAACCGCTTGCAATTTTGAGCACCAAAAAGTACTTTTGCAATTACATCGAAACACTTCAATATTTGTTTTGCTCCCTGAAAGAGCAGAAGTTGTTTTAAAAAACAGATCCAAACACCTCATGATCACATATAGTTTTCGCACAAACCAACTTACAATATCCAAAATGTCCGAAAGAAAATACTTCATCTGTCCTTAAATAAGTGCAACGGTCAACAATTTATACTTGTCGAGAAACAACTTTGACTAGTAATATCTATAATTCACCATTAATAAAAAATAAAAAAAAATAGATTTTGAAAATTTACAATGAAACAAATTTTATAATATTCATTTTAGAAAAATATATTAAGGCATTAATAAATAAAATATGATCAAAGTAGAATATGTGAATAAAGTAAAATTGAACATGTTCCACTCTAAAGAGGTACTCCTTATTACTCGTATAAAAGCCTGCCAAGCAAAATCATGCGACGCCTGTTTATGATAATTTGATCACATCAATCAACATTTGTTACTTTGATTACCTAACTCCTCACTAGACATACAATTCTAAAAAAAAGGATGACACCCCATCCCTGAGGGCCTCCTAACCCCGACTGGACAGTACGTTGGGAGGATGTAAGTTGGATTATAATCCCAATTCTCAATCTGACAGATAGAGAGTAGGGTTCTGTCCCCGGTACTTGCAGAGGCCCCATGCATTTTTTAGCATAGTAACCTCTCATCGCAGTTGTCGGGATTCGAACCCGGGATCTAATTAACCCTTGTGGCACTCCCTTCCTACCAGTTGAGCTACGCCCACCGGATCTAGACATACAATTCTCATGTCTAAGATACTTGGATTTCATCATCTCACGGTCTCACCATAGGATGAGAATGCGGGATCTAAGCATTGGCTCACTTCAAATTTGATATAGACAAATTATTACTCCCTCCGTCCCATATTTATCTTCACAAGTACAATTGACACATATATTAAGATAGTGGAAAATGTGTGGTGAGAGTTGTGCATAGGAAAGAGAAATGTGTAAGAATGTGTAAGAATGATTGTGAACCACAAATTCTTTGCTAGAAGGGGAAAGAGGATAAATTTGGGACAGACCGAAAACAAAAGTATGAAGATAATTCCAGGACGGAGGGAGTATATTATATTTGTGTGTTAATAATTTATGAAAAATTATATGAAGTACTCTATAGTTGGTATGAAAATTCTTTATAAAGGCCAATAGTAGTAAAAATATTTTCACCGTGACTTATTTAAATATTTGTTCAATGAAACGTTATGCTTAGAAACGTTGCGATTCAGCTCATTTTTTTCAGCTTAAGCTCAGTTTAGGTATCTACCCAAACAAGACTACTTTCAGGATAATTGACTGGATTTAAGAAATTCCAGCCCATTTTGAACTGAAATGGCATGCCAAATCATACTTAAATAGACGTAAATAATCAGACCAGGCTCTGCAAATCAGACCATACTAAGAATGTTTTAGTCTAAACGAAACATCTGACTTTTTTATTTTTTATTTTATTTTAAGTGAAACCATTTTTTCTTACTATGTATGGGTCATCTAATCTTGCAATGAAATGGCAAAGGTAGTAATATGACAAGTAAGAGTGATTCAAATGGAAACATCCTCCACTTAAAAAGTGATGAATACTAGATTTTAGTATTCAAGTATTGATGCGGCCATGACAATAAAATCATGAGAGTTTAGTAGTTGAGTAGTTGTGTTTGACAAAATCAAAAAAATTGTAAACACTCCCTTGATTAATTAGTTGGAGTCGACAATAAAATCTAAGCTTGAGTAGTTGAGACTAAATAAGTCATCAATCGGGTAAATTTGGAAGAGGTTTCTCAAAATTTCAATTATATTTCTAATTTTAGGGCTTTTGATAGGCTCGAGTTCGAACCAAGTCGAATACTACTTACTACGTTCGAGCTCGGCTCGATTAATTTTTCGAATTTAAAATTCAGCTCAGGTTTGTGTTCGAAAGCTCGTTAAGCTCGGCTCGTTGGGTTCGAAACCGAGCTCAAACTCGAATAGTTCAATAAAAGCTCGTTTGGAGGTAATCCCTATAAATAATCTCAACTTTTAATTTTTACGCTTAATTTCTATTTAAAATTAACTTTTTATAGAAGGTAATATCTAGTCATGCACCATTATTGGCGGACGATCTATATAAATGGGATTATACAAAATTAATCAATAATGGAGATTATTATTAACTGACCGAAAATAGTTAAGATTATTATTTTCAATTTTTCCAAATAAAAAAAAACTTGTTCCTTAAAAAACTCGTTTTGTGGCCATGTGGGCCACCTAATAATTTCGTAGCCGAACTGGTAAGCAAGCCGTTACGTACAGAGAGAGACTTGCAGATATAATAACTCCGTATGTAAATACGCACGTGCTTATTTATGCGAACAACAAATAAAACCCCATTCAGTTTGCGGAAGAAAGATAAATCGAGGAGTATTTTATAATCCGGAGCATCCATCAGAGTTTGAAGAGAGAAGAGCAAACGGGTTTTAGCAATCGCCGCAAAAAACATGACTTCGTCGGAGATTGCAGCTGCCGGGAGGTTCTCTGGTCAGAGGTCCAATTTCTCCAACACCTGCAACCGCCTTAGCCAGTACATAAAGGAGAACCGCTCGTTTGGCGATCTCAGCCTTAGCCTCACCCGCAATCCTGTCCCTTCCGGTGCGCCTCCTCTATTCACTGGAATCTCTCTGGATTTTCATGATTTTTTTTCCGTTCTCCCTCCTGAGCTTATTTCCTAGTTCGGATTAGTTCTAATAAATGCTCTATTCCGGCCGGCCGTATACGATTTTGGAGTTTAGCGTTTTTCACCCCGACATCCCTGTTCGGGCATTTCTAGAGATTGAACTGTGTTGTTTGTGCTAAATTTGGAAACAGGAAATTCGAGACAGACAATGGATCTGTTGCCGATGATTGAGAAATCCGGTCAGAAACCCATGAATTTGTTTCCTAACGCGGAAGAGGCAACCAGGATTACCGATTTAAGGTTCCTGACCCCTAATTTTTCACATAAAAATTTTCAATTTCCATTTAATGATTAAGTTACAAATATCTATCGAGATCTTGCTGATCAATAACTATGGTTCTGGGGGTTTGTATTCAGCGGGATGAAAAGGGGGGATGACCAGAAAAAGGCACAAATGACAATTTTCTATGGTGGGCAAGTGGTTGTGTTCAATGACTTCCCAGCGGAAAAGGCTCAGGAAATCATGCTTCTTGCCAGTAATAGCATGCCGTCTCCTTCTCCTCCTCCTCCTAAACAGCTGGCTTCGCCTTCACCCGTTTCGATGGCTCTCCCACCGCCTTGTTTTATCAACCAGAGACCTCCTCAGCATCCTATTGTTTCTGCAGGTACTTGTTCTCTTACAAAACAATAATAACTTGGTGCCCAGATGTTGTGTTTCATAGCGTAGTTGTAGAAATATTTGTGTACATAATCTTTGTATAAAATCTATGTACAATCTGGGTTGCTGTCTAACTTTCAGGATGCAATTTCATTTCAGGCCTTTATATAGTCCTAGCATTCCTAGATGGTTTGATTGTTCTCTTATGAGTCATGATTTTAATAAGTGTATTGAAAATTTATGCTAAATAATATAGAAGTATTTATGGTTTATTTATGTATTGTTTTAGATTTAATGGTAGAGGATTGTTTACTTGTTTACAGTCTCTATTAATTTGTTTATTACCGTATTTATGTATTCATTTATTTGTGTCATTGCAGATTTGCCTTTATCAAGGAGGGCATCACTTAGCCGGTTCTTGGAGAAGAGAAAGGATAGGTAGAATGGGTAATTAAATCTTAGGGACCGCAAAAGAGTCTCACAATATATGTTGTGTATAATATGGTATATGTTTTTGAATTTGATTCTTTCTTGAATTGCAGAATCGTGTCTTTGGGCCCATATCCAATGAGCAATCTTAAGTACAATGGAACAGCAGCTTCATCTTCATCGTCTTCTTCTAAGGGGGTTATTGAGAGCAAGGGATGGTTGGGATTGGGTGCCCATTTTCCTGTGAAAACAGAGCAATGATTAATTTGATTGATTATTATTGTAGTATTAAAAATCATTAATATCAGTAGATGATTAGTGTAATCTGCTTGGTACGGTTGGGAGCATCCTTAAATTTTATAGTCTTCCTTAACTTTGTGTTTATCTGAAGTAATTAATTTCAGCTTCCATGCGTCCAAATATTTAGATCTAGTTTGATTAAGTAGTGCTGCCCCCATTATATCAACTGTAATCCATGTAATTAGTTGCTCAGATCTTTCCTAATTTTGCAGAAGTATAGCGAGTCACTCCAAATTATCTCATTATTCTGTTCAACAGTGATGGATTCTTATTGTTGTTATGATAAATACAGACGGTGTCACATAAGGTTCAACAGTAGTTGTTGGTTGGTTGGGTCGCTTGCTATGTTCAAGAGGTGAAAACTTAGTTTTAGATTGGAGAATTAAGGGAGTGTTCCCGGGTTTGAATCCCGTCAACTGCGATGAGGAGTTACTATGTTAAAAATGCATAGGGCCTTTGCAAATACATTCAAGTACCGCGGACAGAGCCTCACTCTTTATCTGTCAAATTGGGATTATAGTCCAATTTACATGCTCCGAATGTACCGTCCGATTGGGGTTGGGGAACCCTGATGGATGGGGTGTCATCCTTTTTTTTTTCAAAAAATTTAAAAAAGTGTTTTTCGGATTTTGGTTTTAAAAGCAAACTATAACAAACTATATGAAATCATGTGTATGAGTGTTTAAACACACACTTTAAGTATTTGAAAAAGTTTTCAAATGATAATTTCAATTTAAATTAAATACTTAAAAGCAAACTATATGAAATCATGTGTATGAGTGTTTTAACACACACTTTATATATTTGAAATAGTATAGCTCATTAACAAACTTTATATATTTGAAATAGTATATGAAAGCAAACTCATTAACACACTTTATATATTTGAAATAGTGTTCTAATTTAAAACACAAACTTCATAAAAATACAATTATGCCTAATTTGCTCTAGTTAAGTATACTAATACAAATATAAATAATACAAATATATAAATACAAATATAACTAAATATATATACAAACAGACAAACACACACAATTATAAATAAGCCGGCCTGTTTAGCTAAAAAGGCTTCAGAATTGGGTTAACCCTCGCCTATTTAGATAAAAGGGCTTTTCGAAAAGCCCAAACCTAATTTGTTTATTAAATAGGCCAGGCCCGAACTTAAGCAGGACAGGCCACGGGCCCTGACAGGCCGCCTTGCTCATTCCCACCCCTACCGCTGTCGGCTGCTCTATCAGTCTATCATGGTGCTCCATCGCACTAGTCCGATGATTACAGAGCTAGACGCCGTAACTACAACAACGCCGGTGCTCAATCAGGGTCGTCTAATGAATTTGGAGGCTCCGGTTCCAAATGCAAAAATTGAGGCCCTGTTTGATTTTAATACGGAGTACTATATAATATAACTATATTATAAGAAATGACATGGTCAACCACGACATAGATTATATCATGAAATGTAGATTTTGTCAATAAATGTCACGGTAAAATTTTGCTGAAGTGTATATGTGATGTTTTTCAATTATTTATTTAACTGACTTCCTGATTGAATTGTAAGTTGAAATGTTTTTTAACTCGTTATTGAAACCAAAAACCGTTTACCGAAAACGGTTATTTGGGGTAGGGACCAGGAAACACCCTACCAGTTAAATAAATAATTGAAATGTTAAGGACATAATTTAAACTTCATAAAGAATATTCTCACAAAATTTCATAAAACAAATTGACCCGAAAGCTCATCAAACGGGCTTGTCCGTACGTGACTGAACATTTCTCACTACATTACAAAATTAATATCAAAAAAATTGGGGCCCCTACAATTGGTGGGCTCTGTTCTAGATGACCGGTTGAACTCGTTAAAAAACGGTCATGTGCTCAATGGTATTCCACACCCTACTCTTTCTTACATTCTTAGCCGCCAGAGTTCTATCGCCTACAATCGTTCCTCAAAATCTCCAGCAACAACCCTCCACCATATCTAGGTAAAAATATGTTTCCTTTGTGTCTGTGTGTGTATATGTTCTTACACAAAAACTTCTCTCCAAGGTAAAACATTAGTGGACTGGAAATTAAATAGCAATGTTCTTACACTCGTGCATTCAGTGACATTTTGCCGAGAGATTATGCTCTATCAAATGCTAATACAGAAAATTAGAGGAAACAATTTCTAATCAAGAACTTTGGAATAGATTGTTATAGTGGAAAAGGGACAAGAATGACGCTAAGCCAATAGTCATATTGGTGAAAGCTTTTGCCACATGTCATTCCTTTAATCATTTGCAACATGTCACTCTTACAACATTCGTTCACTCTCATGCTCCATCAATTTTACTTCTACTCCACATAAATGGTATAATATCAATTATTATATATTATTAATTGGTAGTAAAAAATTACTATGTAAATATAAATTGTTTCTATAAATATTCAAGAAATTACAAACATTCAACCGTCTTTGATCCATGTTATTTTAGGCTCCATGTAATTGGTAACAAAATAAAGTAACATAAAAAATAATTAATATAAACTAATATTTGTACTATAAATCTTAACATGTACATATAGATTAGTATCTATATTTTAAAAATTACAATCATGTCTATCTCGGTTACCATCAACTTCATATAGTCTTTACAATCATGTCCATCTTTACCATCATAATACACCATATTTACAGTTCTAATCTCATTATAGTACAGAAAAATTGAAAAAAAAAATCTCAAATATTGTCAGTCCATTCACAATAATCCAAATTATTGATGTTTTTTTTTTCAAAAAATATTAATCCATCCATGTTTTAAAGTTTGCTACACTTTTATTTTTGGGATGTATTTTAAAGTTTGCAACACTTTTCCTTTTTGGTAAATTTTCCTTAAAAAAATACTCAATCACACTTTCTTTTTCTACTTTTAAATTTTAATCTTCTCTTTCATATTTACACACTTTCTCTCCTATTTTTTCTACACTATTCATTATCCCTACTATTTTTCTTTTAAAATAATGTGCCAAAGCTAATGTAGAAATCTCTAAAATATTGAAGGAGTACTAAATTAAAACTTATTTATACAAATATGACTACTAGTTACTACAATATAGTGTCATGATCACTTATGTTTAAAAATTGAACATAAGTGACCATGACCCAAATTATTGATGAGATTTTTCAAATGTAATACTAAAATAAAACTTATTTACACAAATATGACTATAGTTTCTACAAAATAGTGTCATTTAGTTATTTTATTATTGATTATTTCTATACAATCTCAAGTATATGACTTGTGCACCAGTAACGATCCATGACCGGGTATAACCTGCTATGCAGGTCACTTTTAAATAGAAATTTTGCGTATTCTAAAAATAATCCGAACTATAGTCATTATTCTTTTGATAATCCCAATTAATCATCAAGTCATTTATTTTACAAAACGTAGAAATGTTGGGAATATTTTATGGTGTCCAATCTAATTAAACATCTTTGTATTAGTGTAGTTATTAATTAAATGTGTAATATGGGCCACAAATATATTTCAGCCCATTAGCCCACTTGTAAGCCTTAAGTTAGACATCCTTATGTATAAAAAGATGTTAACTTAAGAAAACCTCAAGCCTTTATGCACATTAACGCACATATCATTGTAGAGTGAGAGAGAGTCACATATTCCCTTCTCAATACCCTATTATGTATTTCGAAATCTTTGTTGGTATTGAATCGGATCATCGTTTCTTCTCTACTCGATCTATTGTTTGTATGATTGTTGGATGATATTGGGAAAAACAATTGGTATCAGAGCCGAGCGTGAAATAGATTGAAGAATTTTTTCATTTTTTCTGCCATTGATGATTTGACGGTGAAGAAGTAGTTCTCGAAAAATTGATTTTCTGCTATTTTTTGGTTGATTGACCTGGTGTAACATCCCCAAATTTTCCGCTCAAAATAATACTTGAAATTGTAATATATATTGATAACAACCTTGATTTATTCATTCAAAATAAGTAGAGTTTTCCAGCGGAAATAATAATAATGGAGAAATGGCTGTTACCGCCACATTCGGTCATCTCTTAATCGAATACACAGGCAACCAAAACAAAACAATAAAAACTAATGTAATAATAAATGTTTATTTCATTACTAGCTTTGACTAATGCATCTTCTACATCGCTCTCAGGCGCATGCAATCATCAATCAACATAGTCATCATTACCTGCACAAATAAAGTGCAGAAAACAAAACAACGAAAAGGAAACAAAAATTAGCTTTAGAGCTAAGTAAGTACTACCCAACCCCGTAAAATAATCAGGTTTGACGAAAAATAGTTTTTCATATAATGCTATATAAAAAGAACTCTTTCCACCAAAATTCTTTTCTCCTTTGATTATCTCAAAAATCACTTCTTCTCTACTAAACTCAACTTCTCTTTGAAAGCAATCTCAGTAGTTCTTCTCTTTGAGTTTCTAAAAAATCACTTCTTTTCTAACTTCCTAATAATTTAGAAGGCCGGTGCTCAACCATTCAGCCTTTGTGTTTCCCTTAGAGCCTCAGGAAATGGTGGCATGATCTCAAGAATGGCAGGTGATGGAGTTGAGTTTTGAGGTTCTTCCTCCTCCGGTTGAGCTTTTTCTGCAGGCTCCTCTTCTTCCTCCTCCTCGCGGATGTAGTTCACAACGCTTTTTTTTTTTTTTTTTTTTTGATTCTCCAAGTTCGATTCTTTTGACACTGTTTCTTGCGGGCATTGTGACATAGCTCTTTGCATACTCGTCACGTTGATAGTGAGGGCTCGGATCATGTCTTCAGTGGATATGCTAGAATAAGAATTCGCGTACATGTGATCTCCCCTCGATAAATTATATGTGTCGGAGAACATATCATATTTCCTTTGGGAACCAACATCATCAGTTTGTTGAAAGTATTCTTCCTGGAGCTTCGAACAAAAATCCGTAATATGCCTGTGAGACATGCAAATATTGCATGTCTTGGCATCTTGAGTTTCCGAGCTTAAGATAAACTCCTTTATGAGAGAAGCCAAGACGGAAATTTGACTTTCTAAGGATGATGTGTTGGTATCCATATACTTATGCAAGCTCAAAATATTGAAAAGTAATTTTTTTTTGGATTTTTCTTGAATTAAAACAAAAGAAAAATTATTGCCTTTCCCCGGCAACGGCGCCAAATTTGACGAGCACTTTGTCACGGTGCGTCAAAATAATTTTTAATACTAACACTTATACGTAGTAT